ATAATAATATTATATAATTATAAATGCTTTGGTATGACTTATTTTCTGAATGGATTCTTTAAGATGTATGACAAACAAAAAGTAGAGTATCTCCATGTCCCCTGATCAGCACAAATGTTTTTTTTAAATATATAATTGGAATCTATTGTAACACCTCACAGTAAGTCTTGTATACTTGTATTTTATTTAGGCTACAAAATGTTACTTTGCATGTTTCACTAGCTTAATGCTGAATATTTGTTATAGCTATTAATGTAGGCCACAGTATATTTGAAAGGCTATCTGCTGGTCCTGTTCATTTAATGTTTTTTTTAACAATAGACTGTAGGGACAGTGAATAGTTCCAAACACTGACCCCTTGCTGTTGCAGCTCTAGGGCTCTGGATCCAAGCCCAACCAAACCACTGTAACACACCTGAGTTGTTTCTGCTAGTCATTATTACTCCTGCTACTACTTGTCCCACTTTCTACCCTTTAGGCTATTCAGTTTCACCTTAACAGTAGAGTTAATATATTACTTCCTAGCAGTGGTGAAAAGTACACTTACTCAAGTATAGATTACTTATCTGTACTTTACTTGAGTAGGTGATTTAAATTTTCTGCTACTTCATACTTTGACATCACTACATTTGATTTGATTTGATTTGATTTATTCTTTCAAGCATATAAAACAGTTGATACAGTTGATATAACAACACACATTTTTACACACAATAGTACATGCTTGAATGGAGTAGGAAGAAGTCAGACTTATCCAGTCCTACCCCGTGACATTATCTTACCATCATTGGTTTGCAAGCAATAAATGATTCACTTCTACACACACACATATTATACTAAAAAAGAATATAACAGTGTTAACATTCTTACATCACACAAGTGATATACTAAAGAATGGTTACAAAATATACACCACACCCACAATAGTCCATGTAGTTAATCATTGAGCCTGTTCTTGCATATATCTTGATTGACACATACCTTTATATTTATGTTTAAACTCATCAATTCTCTTACTGTTTTTTATGTCTACACTTAAATTATTCCATAGTTTTACCCCACTTATGGAAATACAAAATCTTTTTTTGGTTGTACGTATAGCATGAATTTTTAAATTTAACTGACCCCTTAAATTGTATCCCCCTTCCCTTTCATTAAATAATTTTTGAATTCCACCAGGTAATAAATTACTCCTGGCTTTATACATAAACACTGCAGTCTTATATCCCACTAAATC